ACGCCCTTCACGTACTGGCGCTGACAATACATCACCTGCTGCTGCACAGGGTCAATCATGATCTCCACTCCAAGCAAGTATTTCACTGGGCCAAGCTGTGCCAATTCAAACTGACGGGAGAGCTGCTGTGCAATGCTGCTGCACAGAGCTGGTGGTCCAAGTAGCAACACATCATCCACATACACTGTCATCAGCATAGAAATCTCTTCAGTGTCTCCTACTTTTCGCGCGTACAGGCCGTAGTCAGAATCTAATCGGGAAAAACCAAGCCGCTGCAATGCCTCATGCAGGGTGCGATTCCAAACGTTAGGGACTTGCCGTAGCCCATACAAACTCCGAAGCAAACGACACAAACACGTCCGGCTCACGCTGAAATCCTGGAGGAAAATGAAAATCAGCTCGTCGAGATGTCCATACAGAAAAGCAGCTTTGACATCATACTGCAAATCACCCAACCTCGCTGCAGCGCGAAGTAGATGGCCGCTCGAATCGTCTCAAAGCGAATAACAGGTGCATACGTCTCTGTGTACTCTAATCCATGTAGCTGCTTAATCCCGTGAATAACAAGGCGAGCTTTGAAGCGTTTGGTCTTGCCACGTTCATCTCTCTTCACAGCATACACCCAGCGACAGGTAATAGCTTTGCGTCCTTTCATAGCAGTGCGGGGTTCAAGTGTCCAAGTCCCATGATCACACAAAGACTGTAGTTCATCCAGCATAGCCTGCCTCTACTGCGGCCACTGAGGTGATGCTCTAGCTTGCTTGTAGGTTGTAGGCACAACCACGTCCTCATGGACAATGACGCTGTTGACGACGTAGTCACGAAGACGCACAGACGGCTTTCGCTGGCGTTGGGGTCGAGGTGCTCGCTCCACTCTAGCGTCTGCTGCAGGCGAGGGTGGCACCCAGTCTTCATCAAGACAAGCACCACGTAGGAGCAAGTCACGATCCTCTTCGGATCGCTTCCGCTTCCCTTTCTTCTGGAAGTCATTCGACGGGTTCAGTGCTGCAGTCGATCCTCTTGATGGCGTGGACGCTTCGTCCACAATTGTAATCGGTACCTTCGTCTTATCTTTCGCCACAGCCGTTGCGTTCGTGTCCAGTCCAGCCTTGATGCGCACAACAGGTACGTTCACAGGTAGATCGTATTCTCCACCGAAGAAGCAGTTCAGTAGAAGCGTCTCCATGTACTCAGCTTCAACAGTAAATGACTCATGAAATCTTATGTTCTCCTTCCTTGCAGTAATCACATATCCAGACTTCACGTCGAGTAGCTTGTATCCTTTGCGATCCGTAGCGTAGCCGAGGAGAATACATGTCCGTACACGAGTGCTCAGCTTCTCCTTCTTTTGTCGTGAGCTGTCACTGATGTGTACATGAGCCACGCAGCCCCACGTACGTAACGACCGTAGGTCAGGTCGCGCGGCTTTTGTACTCACCTCATGCATTGTTGATGCCGATGGTGCACTCAATGTTGTATGTTGTGTTGCATGTTGTGTTGCGCCATGCGTTGCTTCGGACGGCTGTGTTGTTTCAGGCAAAATGTAAGAGTCTGAAGGTTGTGTGAGGCCGTCGTGCGTGAATGACTCGCTTGCAATTCGCATCATATCTTGAACGACCTGGAGCATTGCCACACCTTCCGTAAAGACTTGGACCATTTTTGGACATGTCCATCATATCACAACGTCGGGGAATGCTCGATATTGGAAGGCTTTCGGAGCGATGCACTTTTCCAGCAATATACATAAAATGCTGACAGGGAAGGTTGTAGCTGCAATAAATCAAACATGAACACGACCACTGAAAGTTGTTGCATTGATGCGCGTACTCACTTGTTTTCACTTCCCATTCACCCATTTCGGATCGACGTTTCAAACAGGTTGTATGCGGCAAAGCAACCATGTAATAATCCCATTGCGATTGAACATTAGCAAGCATCGAGTCGCTCAAACGAGAGGCCACAAGCGATTGAAACCCGGGAAAGACGTCGGGGTGTCGCGATTTTGCTGAATTTGTGTGCATTGCTGTGACCGAATGTCTGGTAATTGTGGCTTGATGAGCTAAAAGCCCATCAATTGTTGCGTCGAGCCGGGGACGTTTCCCAAGGAGAAGCTTCAGTTGATTCCAATTGGATTCAAGTCGGTTCGTGGTGGTATTTCCAGCTGTGAAGCACCTTCCCTTGCGTGCTCAGCCCACATATCCGCACAGGTTTCCCAATTTTGCTCAAAATACGTCAGTAGCACAGGGCATTGCGCCTTGCACGTGTGTAGGAGGTGTCAACCTCGGAATCAAATGTTGGCTTTGATTTACTTTATGCAACACAACAAACAACACAGTATGTCAGCGACACAACAAGCAACACAGTATGCCAGTGACACACCAAGCAACGTAATACATTAGCAACTAAGCACGCGCCAATAGATGAGTTTGGCGAATGCAGATTCCATTGTGTCCCTTTCCGTCACCTTCACGTTAAACTTGTCGCGCTTGCAGACTTTGCACCAATACATCAGCGCATGAAGCTGGCAAAGATGGACCTTGGCGTCGGGAAACGCTTATCCAACACCGTCATTCCACAAAATCTTTATCGATGATGATCGTCTGAATCGACCTCCAAGACGGTTTTTTCCACTTGAAAAACTCCACAATATTTTCCATTGTGACAGACTTTTGGTCGAGTGCTAGGAATCAATAACGGGGATCCCTCTCCCGTTGCCGTCGTTACGACGAGACTACCTGTGAAACACAATAAAAAGAGTTCCAAACATTAGATCTTTTGCCTTTCAACAAAGGGAGAATGTTAATCATTATCAGTGATATTACCCAGATGATACCCCAGATTATTAGTCCCGTGAGTCCAATCCATTACCGTAGTGTCGCCCCAAGACTTCTTTTGGATTGACGTTTGCATAGCAATCACGCACGTAATATCCATTTGGTCCTGAACGAAAAGAACGTCGTTGCCAGCATCTCCATCCGCAAACGCATCCAAAATAGTTTTCGTCCTTTCAAGTGTCGTACTTGCCAGTACTTGCTTAAGAATATTTCTTGTTTGTTGGGGAGATAAAACTATATCTGTACCATTGATAAGAATAAGTGATTAATAAATTAAATGAATGTTAGTATGAAAGCAAAAACAAATACAGCAAAAAAAAAAAACTCATCACTGGGACCCGCCAAGCTGCTTCGACAGATAGCGGTTGATATCCGAAGTGCTCATCTTCATATCCGTCAAGGACCCAAGTTCTCAGCGAACCTGGGCCGGAATCGAGATGAACTTTGCGCCACGATACGAGTCGAAAATGACCTTATTTGTTTCGTGGTTGTGCGTAGATATCCGAAAATATTAATACAAACAAGAAGTTACTTTTGCAACAATCGAGAAATAACTCATCTTACCTCAGTGTCCGAGTCCACTTGCACCTCCCATGCAGTAATACCCTGTTTGAGAACCTTGACACACCGTACCAGAAAGCTCGCCTCACATCCAGTGTACCTCAACGCACAAATTCGGAGGCCCTCGCCGCGGGAGGATTGCGTTGAGCCATGTGTGCACCACATACGCTTGAAGCTGCGCGAAAAGCGCTCTGGTATGTGGGTTGCGTTAGCACGGCTAGTACGACAAAACGAGCAAAATAGAGAGCATCATAGAGAGCAACATATTAGCCGTTAACATGTAAGCAACATTCATCTCTTTCTCCACCACGATAACTTCGCACCTGTTGTTCCTGGCTCGGGTTTCGGAGCTCCGGACTCGAAAATGGAGGAAGTGCTTGGCCTCGTAAAGGTGAAGCACTTGCTCAAACTCTTCCCAGCTCTTGAACGACTTCTTCGGCAAACCTGGCTCGACGTTAACGACGCCTTGTCGCGCTTTCACTATCTCTCCACGATCTTCGAATGTTTTTGTTCGCCGTCGCTCTCTGAGGTGCTTCACCGTTGTCGCAGTACTACCGCGGTTTTTGACGTCGGTCCGAGCACATTTAGACGGACGTCCATCCCCGATGTCTTCTCCAGCTTCTTCATCCGGGGCGTGTTTTCTACGCTGCGACTCAAGTCGCTTCTTCCGTTTATCACACTCTTGCTCAGCATCGGTCCGAGCCGCGTGAGCAAACTCACGGATAAAATCTCCAGTGAAATAAAAAAACAAGCAACACAGTAAGTAACATAATCAAATAATTCAGCAACATAATGACATAACATACCCGTGTCACCATCCTCATCCAGCGCATTTTTCATCGTGACCCTCGTTTACATTCGCGTCCACCTCCGCGTCCACATCGCCCTCATCCACATTCGCGTCCGCTTCGTCTACAGTCCAGTCCACAACCGCGTCACCGTCTTTCACATTCGCGTCACCTTCGTCCACATTTGAATCTCGCGTTTCCGGATCCGCAATATCGTTGCCGTCGTCCGCCACCGACACTGGCGCGTCGTCCTTCACCGTGGTTGCAGCACTGGCACCCGCGTCCTTCTTGCCCGCGTCCACGCACTGCTCAGTCACTTCAAACGAAGACAAACATTTATATAAATAACTCAATATAGATATTTGCGTGGAGTCCTCACCTCCACTCGTGCTGGTCGCGGCGGTAGTCGTGCCAATGTCATCTCTCGTGCCCAATGCTGCGTCACCACTTCTCGGGTCCGCCACAGCTGCTGGCGCGTTCTTGGCGTCTACATCCACGTCATTCTCCGCCATATTCACGTCTTTCTCGCCCGGAGCCGCGTCGTTATTTTCCACAGGCACGGTGGCGTCAGCAATACCCTCGTCGTTCTCTTCTTCCTCGAGGCTCTCCATGTCGGTGTTTTCATTCGCTACATCGTCTGTCGTCGCAACAGGGTCATCAACGTAGTCTTCGTCGCTGGAAGGGTCACGGGTAAATCCGTGAACAGCTTGAACGTAGTCCACAGGCTTTCTCTCGCGTAACCAGCGACCTATATAGACAAACCACAGCATCATAAGTTAGTGCAGGTGTTGGTAGAACGTCGCCGGTCCTTTTGGCGGCTTTAGCCTACCTGTAGCTTGCGCTGGGTGCGCAGGCTCGCGTGCTCCCTGCTCCCTCCGCCGATACGAAACGAAATGAGATGCCAATACGCTTCGTACTTAGTGTGTTTTGAACTTAGCAGAAAAAGATTTTGTGAATTTTCTTCTTTTTTGCTATTGAGATTTTTTGAGTAAAATATATCACGATAAATTACCCAGCAACACAAGCACGCCTTGTGTTGCTGTGATCGGTTTGTTGTCGTGTTGTAACTAAGTTGTAGTACCGACTACGATTAATAGTACATATCTTGCCTTTCGCTAATGGGGGATGCCAGAGGACAGTGTTATTGAGTCAAGCGTAACCAGCCAGTGCTTTTAAAACGCTTAGTTTTCACATTACCGTACCTCACAAAATAAATGCTTTAGCACAATTCCAAACTACAGTCGTCTTAAAGTAAAAACACCCGGATTTCTCGTGAAACTGCTATTTTGTGTTACGATTTAGTAGCAAAAAAATCGCATTGGTCAAAAATCAACCGGGAAGGAGATGTAAGCAAATGCATTACATACTTTTCTCAAAACAGTAAATGAACTGATACATTGATATTGTAGGTTTCTCTCAGCTTAAATCTTCCACGTGCTGGTTCTGAAGCAGCGTATTATACAGATCGTTGTCCTTAAGTCGGGCGATTGTGCTCTTGAAAGAGTTCTGTGTCTGCTGTACGCGGGTCTTCACCAAGTCTTTTGAACATGTACTCCAAATTACGACTTTCGTTTTGGTCTTCGTTTATAGCTGACACAGCTCCCCCAATCCACCGAATTACTTGAACACGTTCTAAGTTGTATTTTTCACCAGAAGGAATCGATTAATTTACTTTCCAGCTTAGAAATCGTTTCTTTATGTTAGCCTTTCGAGATCGATTTTCATATAGATCACAATTCAAATTTGAGCTTGAGGACGGTTTATCTGTATATACGCCTCTGGTACTCACAGCTACCGCTCGTTTGACTTGTTCTGGAGTAAACCATTCTTCCTGAAGACGAGGGGGTTACTTGACAAATGCTTAGGGGGTTGTAAGCTGTCTATCTCAGCCTAAATTTAGTTTTGTTTCGGAGATGTAAAATCTGCTATTTTTGTGTTGAGCAAAATCTTCCAAACAGAAAAAAAAATACGCGAAAATCGCCGAACTGCTGTTTTTCTGTTAAGCATTTACTAGTATTGTGCATTAACTTTGGCTTATGAATAGCGCCTCTAAAACAACGACAAATCTATTTCGTGTATCTAAAGCTAGAACATAACCCAACGTTGAAAATAAGTTAATTATACCGGATAACAAAGCAACTCTGCAGCTACAACGCAAAGCCACAGCGACAAGGCAATGCCTGGCTACTTCTTTCCCAGCTTGTTGACTTGAACAAGTGCTTGCCTGCACACTGCCCTGCTCCTTCACGGCCAATCGGCAAATAACTAAGATTCGTTCCCATTTGAAACGGGATCCGCGTGTTCGGTATCACATTACCTCTACGACGAAACAGTAAATCCCAACGAGAAATAGACCGCGTCGAGACCCCATAACGGACGCAACGACACTTAGGTCAATGTGTTAGATGTAGGTCAGCACAATATATCTCCAACGCATGTCGATAGAAATTGTCATCTTATGGAATGTAGCTGCACGGGCTTAAGAAGACTTAGAGTGCGCGACGTTGGTTTGGCGCTTTTACTACAGCAATTCAACGAAAACACGCATAAGACAACATTAACTCTTCGAGTAAATGGTAATCCAACGTTAATTCGACGATTACGGTAGGTAAATCAATGTTGGATTATTTTTCAAGATT